ACCACCCAGTTACTTCCTACGTAAGAATAAATAAATAACCTAACTAGTTACCCTCCCCTAAACAAAAAACTCTTAACTAAAAAATCTTTTAAAAAATAGTTGGACAAAAGCTTTGAACAGATTCTTCACAGAAGAAGATATGTGGATGGTCATATTACCACACGAAAGGATGCTCAACATTATCAGCCATCAGGGAAATACCCCAATTAAAGCAGAGATGCCACTGCACACTCAGCAATATGTCGAACTTTTTTTGTTTGTTTGTGTTGTCTTATTTTTGTTTGGAGGGGGGAGGTAATTAGGTTTTTTTTAATGGAGGTACCGGGGATTGAACCCAGGACTTTATGCATGCTAAGCACGTGCTCTACCACTGAGCTATATCCTCCCCCCGACACTCAGCAAAATGTCCAAATGAAAAAGACTGACAGTGCTGAGTGCTGATGGGGATTTGGAGCATCTGGAACGCTCATCCATTGCTAGTGGGAGTGTAAAACTTTTCCAAGGTATGATCACTTTGGAAAAGTTTCTTCTAAGTTAAACATCCATTCATATTAAACTCAGTAATTCATTTACTCAAAAGAAATGAAAGTGTATGTCTACACAACTTGTAGGGGAATGTTCATAGCAGTTTTATTCATAATGGCCAACAATCAGAAACAGCCCAAATGTCCACCAACAGGGAAATGGGTTAAATTATGGTATATCCATATGGCAGAATACTACTCAACCACATAAAGGAACATTTGCTAATACATGCAGCAACATGCATGACTTTATCAGGAGCAAAGCCAGACAGAAATGCACGCATATGGTGTGGAATCATATCACATTCTGAACCTACAGTGATAGAAGGTAGGTCCACACACGGTTGCCTGGGGCCTGGGATGGGGTGGGATACTGATTGCAAAGGGGCACAAGGGGACTGTAGGGACAATGTGAATGTTCTACCTTGACTACGATGATAGTTCCTGGGTATGGACACCTGTCAAACTCATCAAATAAATGTATGGTTGGTTACTCTGGATATATTTTATTATATGTAAATTACACCTCCATCAAGTTGACTTTTAAAAACTCAATTCCTTGGAAAATCTTTCCCTGACCACACCCCTCTCCAACAACCCCTGGTCTATACACTCTTTGCAACCTGTATTTTCTTCTACTGCATATCTCCAAGTTTGCCATGATGTTGTTTATTGGTTTCCTGTCAATGGCCTCTAGACAAGAAGTCCCAGACCCCATCTCTCTAGCTCACCCCTGAGGGCTCAGCACCCCGCCTGCACAGAGCAGGTGCTCAGTGAGCACTCAAGAAACAAGGGGATGCCGGAGCTGGTAAGTGGAGGCCAGAGAGAGGAGCAGCTGGCTGGGCCCAGCCACACCCTCGGGCTAGAGCTCTGTGGACTGGACGACCTCCGGGCCCCTCCACATGGGGCTCTGGCTCCACCCGGGGAAGTTGAGTCTGTACAATTCCTCAGAGATCTCCAGGAAGGTCTTGCCTTTGGTCTCCGGGAGGAAGAAGAAAGTATAGACGGCCGCACAGACACAGACGCAGAGGAAAGGCACGTAGAGGAAGTGGGACAGGCCCTCCTGTGGGTTCAGAGAGACCCGAGACCTGGTGCGGCCCATTCAGCCCCAGACAGGTCCGGATGAAGGACCTGACCCTCTCCGTTCAGATAAGCCCCATCCCTTCTGGTCTCAGACTCCCTGGATGGAGCCCCTCCCCTTCCTCCCTCATGGGACCACCCCTCCCACCTCCCCACACCACCCTACCCTTTCTCAAGCTGACAGGGCCAGGGGAGGGGAGGGGGCACCTACCATGATGAAGGGGAATCCCAGCCCGACCAGGAAGAGCATGGTCCACATGAGCACTCCACAAACCATGTAGGCAGCAGGCCTGGCCATCTGGTCAAAGAGCTCGGTGGCCAGGATCCCGGTCACTCCGGCTGGAAGGAGGAGTGGGGATGGGGACAGAAGCCTGCCAGCTAGGGCTTTCAGGCCTGCCTTCCCACCACCTGGCCCCAGACAGGAAAGTGGGGCCTCTCGGGGGCGCTCCTCCTGCGCCCATTCTCTCCCCAAAGCCTGTACAGTTGAGTGGGGCAGGGGCGCAAGCTGGCACATTCACACCCGCCCAGCCTTCGCCCAGATAGCCTGCTCCTTCCGCAAGGCCCAAAGCCTGGAGCCCTTGGGCCCACTCACCGGGGCCGATGCCAAAGCTGAGGATGAAGGCGAAGATGCAGGACATGGCCAGGTAGGGCATCCAGGGGAAGGAGCTCTGCGGCAAAGGAGGGGTGCTGAGGGGAGATGGGAGGCCGCACACACTGCCACCCAGCTCACATCCCCGCCCAGCTACCTGCAGGCACAGGGCTGCCGTGAAGACGCTCCCCCAGCAGGTCATCAGGCAGTAGCCCCCCATCAGCAGCACCCGCCGGCCCACCCTCTCGATGACCACACACTGCAAAGGAAAGGAGCCCAACCTGACTGACCTGCACGGGCCACGGTCCCTGGGTCCGGGGGCAGGCAGTGGGGAGGGGCCCCAAGAGGAAGCTGGGGTGAGGGTGGGGGGCCAGGAGCAGTTTACTGCTTCAGGGGATTAAGATATGAATTTTCCAGAGGACCTCGGTCACTCAACTTCAGTTTCCCCATCTCAAGATGGTGATGTGAGTGCCCGGCAAACAGCAGGTGCTTAATATGTGCTCACTAACTCGCGGCATTTTAACGGAGTGAGCTGAAGTGGAAGTGGCTTGGCACCCCGAGGGTCCGCCGCAGGGCTAGGCGGTGGAGGTGGGGGGCGGTCGGCCCGGAGCCAGACTCACGCTGACCAGCGTCGCCAGCAGCTCGCAGCCCCCGGTCCCGATGACCGCGTACTGGACCTTCTCCGGGGGGATTCGCGCCTGGACGAACATCGCCGACGCGTAGGAGTACACCTGCGGGCGCGGGCGAGGGGCGGCTGCGCGCGGGCTCCCCCACCCTCGGCCCGCAG